CCACCCTGTACCATTTTACCAGTTTAAGTACCTCTACAGGGCCAGTACAACCAGTAAAATGTGGTTTTCACCTTGCCCAAAAGTAATTACAGCTAATACTTTGTTACTGAAAGTGGTTTTCTGCCTCAGGTTACTTTTATTTCACTTCTGTGGGTTATAGCACCTCTAAAGGGCCAGTACAACTAATAAAATGTAGTTTTCTCCTTGCCGAAAAAGTGATTAAAGCTAATTCCTTTATAATGAAAGTGGTTTTCTGCCTCAGATTATCTTCATTTAACTCTTCTGGGTTATATTTTATAGATTATCAACCATTCAATGCCTTTGTACCAGTTTCAGTACTTCTAAAGTGCTATTTACTGGTCATATTATCATTTTAGAGGTACTAAAACTGGTGCAAAAGTATCGGGTGGGGTGTAATATTTAAAACATAACCTCCAAGCAAAAAATAAGGGTACTGGTAAAGCAGAGCAGATAATAATCTTTAAATTACAATCTATGAGTGAAATCTGAGGCAAAAAAAAAACTTTCAATGACAAAGGATCAAAACTGTGATTTACTGGGTATACTAGTATTTTAATGGTGCTGAAACAGATACAGAAGAGAGAAATAAAAATAATGCGAGGCAGAACCCCATTTGGTATCAAGATATTAGCTGTAATCACTTTTTGGAGAAGACTGCATTTTACGGATTATAGTGGATTCTTGGAGGTAATGTTAGGGCAGACTGGGTGGTTTATGATCTTTAAAATATAATGCACAAGCGTGATATAAAAAATAATCTGAGGCAGAAAACCATTCTCAGTATTAAGATATTAGCTTTAATCACTCTCTGGCAAGGAGAATACTGTATTCAACTGGCTGTACTGGCTTTCAGCTGGTACAAAGGTCCTGCATGGTTAAGAACTTTTAAAATATACCCACAAGAGTGAAATAAAGGGAATCTGAACCACATAATGCAGATGAGGCAGGAATAAACAGGAGAAACAGCTGGAGTGACTCTGAGATGTCACACGTGCACAAATATAATCTAGGCACAGGAGCAAGTTTTACTAGTATTCCAAAACCACAAACTGCAAAATATCCTAGACAAAATCTGCAAACTGCTTCCAACATAATTTCTTCTTCTTCTGTTGTTTAAAGGCAGTTGGCAACCAAATTTAGACGCATTACTGCCACCAACTGGTGAGGGGTGCGGCTCAAGAATCACACATAGTCTCCCAATCAGCTTAGATATTCAAACGTACTGAAACAAAAACTGGTAACGCTCATTTTCTAAGTTTTTTTCTTTTGCTCAAAACATGTTAAATCACATGTAACACAATTCTGGGCATAAATTAATAAAGAAGATTTCATATCTAGACATCCCTGGTGTGTGTTGGAGTCTTAGATTTTTGTGACATCTGTTAAACCATAATTTACTTCTTTCTGAGGTTTTGAATTAGGTGCCTTCACTGTGTGTCATTTTTCTGACAGTGCAACACAAAGTGTTCAAATCTCTTCTTGCCTTCATGTTTGCTTTTATTATGCTTCACTGTTTTAAAGAGTATAGGACTGCTGTTAAGTTCAGTAAGTCCAAATCTCAATCTTGATATTACTGTTGTCTCTCCTGTAGCCTGCATCTCATCTGTCCTACTTTGCTCTGAATCTTGTAAAACCACTGTCCTTTTCTTTCTTCTTCCCCTTGCTTCTGCCCCCTCTCTCCTTCAGCCTCTGTTTAATAATGCACTCAATCTTTGCCCTTCTAAAGTTAACATCCATATAAATAAGATTTTTTGTGACTTCCTCTGGAACCTTGTCTGCTGCTTTATTTCTCTTTAACACGTGCTGGTAGCCATAAAAATTATACTGTTAGTCACATCATTTGAATTCTATATATTGTTTCACAGTCAGCTTGAGAAATAAACACAGGAGGTATAACAGCAAACTTTTACAACTATCAAAATGCGTCCCTTGTGCCACAGCTCAGCAAAGAACTACTATCCTGGGAACCAGCAGAGGGAAATTTGTCTTAAGTAGACAAAAACCTTGGAAGACATAGGCACAAATTGAATAGCTGAAGCTATATTTGAGCCTCAGACAAACTTTGGAGTGCATTTTTACACAAAGCGATGGCTGTGGCCCTCATATTTTTACAGCATAGTCACGTCCCTAATGGAAAACGTTAGGGTCAATGCAGAGAATATGAAAAGTTGCAGTGATTAAGACCTACACTACATGGCCAAAAGTATTGGGACACCTGACCATTACACCAACAGGGACTGTAATGGCATTGCATTCAAATACATAGTATTTAATACAGAGTTGGTCCCCCCCTTTGCTGCTATAAGAGCTTCCACTCTTCTTGGAAGGCTTTCTGCAAGGTTTTGGAGCATTTCTATGGAAATTAATGCCAATTTATTCTGTAGAGCATTGATGAGGTCAGGCGCTGATGTTGGATGAGAAGTCCTAGCTTGCAATCTTCATTCCAGAGGTGATCAGTTGGGTTAGAATCAGGGCTCTGTGCAGGCCAGTCAAGTTCTTCCACACCAAAATCTTCCAACCATGTGTTTATAGGTTGGGGCACAGTGATGCTGGAATAGAAAGGGCCTTCCTCACACTGTTTCCACTAAGTTGGAAGTATAGTGTTGTCCAAAATGTCTTGGCATGCTGAAGAATTAAGACTGTCCTTCACTAGAAGCAAGGGGCCTAGCCCAAACCCTGAACTTTACAGTTGGGCACAATGCAGTCAGGCAAGGTAGTGTTCTGCTGGCATACACCAAACCCAGACTTGCCATTCTGACTGCCAGAGAAGCATGATTCAGCACTCCACAGAACATGTTTCCACTGCTCCAATGGTGGTGTGCTGTACACCACTGTCACTTGGCAATGGAGTTGGTGATACGAGGACTGTATGCAGCTGCTCGGCCATGGAAACCCATTCCATGAAGCTCCTGGGCCACACGGGAAGTTCAGAACTCTTCAGCTATGGAATCAGCAGCGTCTTGGCGACTGTTATGCACCTTAGCAGTCGCTGACCCTGCTCTGTGACTTTATGTGGTCTTCTGCTTCGTGGTTGAGAAGCTGTTGTTCCTAAAAGGTTCCACTTTCCAGTAATACCACTCACAGTTGACTGTGTAATATCCAGCAGGGATGAAATTTCATGAACCATCTTTATTGCAGAGATGGCATCTTATCACAGTACCATGCTTGTAGTCACAGAACAACTCATTTTGTTTCACATATGTTTGGAAATGAATACTGCATGGCTAGGTGCTTGATTTTAAGCACCTGTGGCAATGGGCCTCATTGTCTCAATATCTTTGTCCATGTAGTGTATTCTCATTAATATTCTATTACTACCAACTTGAACAGTCCCGAACCTATCCATTAACTGTGTTCCCATATTTGTTTTAGGAAAAACATATAATTTGTGGTCATAAAAATGACCAATGCAATTCTAACTATATGATTGAGTAGTCCTCGTAGTCATGCCCATACTTACAACAGATGAGGAACAACACCCAGTGTGGTTACTCCATCCATCCATTATCTATACCACTTATTCCTGAACAGGGTCACGGGGGGGTTGGAGTCTTACCAAGATAACATTGGATGAGAGGCGGGGTCCACCCTGGACAGGTCGTCAGTCTGTCACAGGGCTGATATGTAGACAAATAACCACACATAAACACTCACTCCTACAGGCAATTTAGAGTCACCAGTCAACCTGAGCTGCATATCTTTGGACTGGGAGGAAGCAAGAGTACCCTGAGAGAACCCACGCAGACACAAGGAGAGCATGCAAAGTCCACACAGAAAGGCCCCGGGTCAGCCAAGGCTCAAACCTAGAACCTTCTTGCAGTGAGGCGACAGTGCGATCAAATTTCAGAACAAATTTGGTGCATTTTTTGTATACATGACTTAAGAAGCATTTGCTTTGATTCATACAATGCATCTCATTTTGGTTTTTCAAGCTCCATTATCAGTTCTTCTGATTACATTAGTTACACACAGTCATCTCTAATTAAAAAGAAGTCCACAGTTGTAGCTCAATATGTATTAATTGGGATGAGACACTTACAATCCCTACTAGTGGTCTAAATATAACACATGAACAAATAGAATGTCAGAAGCTGAAAGGATCTGACAAGATCACTACATATTAATTAAAATAGTGTTAAGCTATTAGAAATGTTTTAAAATGCATTTGTCCATTGTACATTTAAAGATACAATCTGTACAAGCTTTTGGGTAAAAACTGAACATATCATTTGGAGCTGAAACGTTGTTAACGCATGCCAATCCCTCTGTTACTCATGTTGCCTCATTATCTGATGAGAATTTTGCTCTATTTGCATGGGAGTGGTCCAAAAGTACTAGATCCCCTGAACTATCCATTAAACTATCCACTGCTTACTGAGTGCTTTGTAAACATGGGAGCAGCATTTGAAAGGTGGAGGGAAATTCTGACTCTACAATATAGAGTTAGCTTTGAAAGTGAGAAACTTTTTCTTTTACTTGCAGCAAGTTTCCCAAGTTTAATACTACACATTACTGTTCTTGGCCAGCTTTAACTGATAAAGGCTTTAGATGAGTAGTAGCACAATGCACTGGTAGAAATGATTTACTCTACAATGCTAACTCTGAAAATACAGAAGAATATATTATACACTATAAAATCATGTAACATCCATTTGTTGCATTTTGTTTTCTAGTACTTTCCTTGTAAAACCACTGATCGTGATGTTAAAGCAAGAGTACATTTTTAAAAACAAACCCTTACAAAAGTCATTTATATGGTCAAAAAAATCAAAGATCAAATGAAATCTTTTCTTTCCGGTTCTGTACCGGAAACAAATTCCTTGTGTGTAACATACTTGGCCAATAAAGGTGATTATCCTGATCCTTTTCAGTGAAATAGAAAATGAGTAATGTCTTCAGTTCTCAGGGTTCTAGCACTTTGTTAAAAAAATAAAAGATGAGTCTAAACGAGTGCAATTTATGCTCATACTTTTTAATGTATCACAATGAGCAAGAAACATACTTGATGAAATATTTTCAAAGGAGTATATTCAATTACCATCTACAATCAACTTAACTAGGACAACAAGGTTCTGTGACAAAAGTTTCTTTAAAAGTCTGAAGTTCCATGTGGTTGTATGTATGTTAGTTTCCATGTAATTTGGTACAGTTTGGAAATCTTCATCATAATTACAGTAACAAAAAAGCTAACAAGACTACAGTATAGAAAAGACATCAAGAACAACATTTTTGGTTTAACTTGCTCTTTTTTGTACATTGCAAGGCTGTTTTTTCTACCCTCGGATGGGCTGCCTGGAGCCACAGAGCCATGCTTATGAGGCTCGAAGGAGGAGTAATTCAAGGAAACAAAAAGAAAAACTAAAAGCATTAAAAAAAAACATTGTGGCACCAGAAGTCACAAAAGGAACAGAAAGCTCCAAGTAACAGTTCATCTTTGAAGTTGGAGCAAATGGTTGTTTGGTTGTTAGTTTGGTTGTTAATTTTGGTTAATACGCTTTTTTAGTGTAACTGCCTCTTTAAGAATGACAGCTTTGAGAACCCGTCCCCTCTCTCTGTTATTCACTTCTCTTTTTAGATTATGCAATCAACAGAGAGAGGGGTGAGCCGCCATTTGACTGGAGAGCTTTACTTGTCAACCAGAGACAAGCACAAGGAAATGAAAAGGATAGCAACATGAACTGGGAGAAATGAAGCAAGCATCTCTGTCCATCCTGTCCTGAAATTTGGAAAATGTCCATCAAAGAGCAGAAGCAGAGGCAGAGCTGGGTAAAGAAAGAGACAGACAGAAAGGAGAAAGAGGCAGCTGGAGCCACTTAAGTTCAGTTTCATCTGAGGACGTTCCTCTCTGTGTCACACATGTCCATTGGTTCCAGAGTCTATTCCCATTACAGAGTTGTCAGTATTCAAATAAGGAGGTGGTTTTAAAGCTGTTTTGATCCTGCCTTTGGCTCCCATGCCCAGTTTTGGTGTGCCCACAGCCCCTCGTGTCCTCCTGATGAGATCTCCAAAGCTTCCCAGAGTCCTTTTTATTTTCTTTCATTCCTTCTTCATTTCAAAAGCAAAAAAGTTGATGTCTTGTTTTAAATATATCTATATCTGTATACAGGTACACGTTTGTTTTCACAGTGGGCAAAAGATGACCTCTACAGCAAAACCTTATTCTCTCTCTCTTTGTAAATGTCCATTAAAATCAAGTATCCCAATGTAAGTCAGTGGATCCAGTGACCCACAGTAGCGTTTTGTGCCACAATAAAATATACACTTATCCAGGGCACAACTTGTAATTTTTTTTTCTTTTTGTTTCAACTGCATAAAGCTTTGGCCACATTCATATATTCAATCAAAGTAAAAACTGCTCAGTGCTTCGGTATCGTCATTCTCATTTCTGATCATACCTTTAAAATTTGATTTTCTAAATTTCAGTTATTCATAATCCACCTTTGTGGTTCAGTTTGTTTTGGTGTGTAATAAAAAAAAGGCAAACAAGAAAAAATTTAATTGATGCTGGCTCTTATAAAACACACACACACACGCACACACACACACACACACACACACATAGAAATTCACACACAGTCCATGCTGGCTGAATCTAATGTAGATACTGCAACTTTGTCTTCCACAAAAGAGCCCAAAAGATTACACTTGGAAATAAGAGAGCAAACGGTATCAGAGACAATGAATATAAAGAACATTATCACACCATAAAGTGGCCAGGTCGTTTTTTTGTTTTCCGTTTCTTAATTTCAGCAATTCAAATTAAAGCTAGTGTTAATTTATGATATAAAGTAATATACAGAAACTAAAATAAAATACTTATAAGAAAATAACAATACATGTCTGACAATATTAAAATAAAGCAAACAATATTTGAGAAAACCTGTACAACTTAAGAATTTTCCAAAATAAGCAAATACATATGAACAGTATTTCAGGGAACTGGACTTTAGAGAAGCAGTAAGCTTGTAGACCAAATCTGCTGACTTTCACCAGCATGCTATAGTATCAACACCAAATCACACTGGTCTGAAAGACACAGCACTTTAAGCACTTCTGAGATTGTGCCTTGTATTCATTGGGGCAAATATATCAGCTACACAGTAGTGGCCAAAAGGGGTTTGTCACAAATTTAAATACGTCTTGGTTTTGGTTTAAAGACTTAAATGTTTAGTTCACAGATCATCAGTGAGACAGCGGGGTTACCTATGCAAATTTCCATTGCAATAAAAAGAAGTGGGGGTCGTCTTTGGACATGAAAGCATCCTAATTGTTTGAAACCAAAGGACATCTTCGAAAAACCTCCTACTTATTTCAGAAATAATGCTTTGGAATGAAGAGGTCCCTTAAAAACCTGTAATCTATGTGTGGAAGTGGCACCCTGCAGACATACGGGACAAGTCACTGGTGGATTTCCCAGGGAGAGGACAACAACACCTCAGCAAAACAGCCATCATTTCCCTCTGAGACTAGTTGTATGGTGACTGACATATGTGTTACTAAACCTATGAAATGCATCAGTACCAGATGTATTATATACATTTTTTGGTAACCACTATTACTTGCTTAACAAGTCAGCAACAACCTTGACTGGATGGAGAATTTCAGCAACGTTCCATGCCAGCAAAAAATGATATATGGAGGTCACTTTGTTCAGCAACCAATGATGCAAAGATTTACACAACAGTTTACAGTCACTTTAAAAATGAGAAAAAATAGATTGTGACAATTAAAAGCAACTGAATGAAACAGGATCAGTCCTTGCTTAAGAAAACTCCACTGTGATATTTGGAATGCACTGTTCTTTACAAACGTTATAGATCATTGGCTTTAAACATTGGTCTGTTCAAAAAGAAATTCGGCAAAATGTCCTTTGGAACACATATTCACAGTCTTCAAAGTTCCGTTTTTGCAACAAGAAAAAAAAAAAGGTGTTGCAGAGGCAAGAAATTGGTTTATTGTTTGTTTTAGTTAAAGCTTAGCCAAAAGCAAAATGAGCATGCATCTAGGTACTCTTTTTTTCTTTCAAAATTCTACATTAGCAGCAAAACGCATGTCCTTGAAGACCAGACCTTATACATTTTCTTAAAAAAAAATGGACATTTGAATGTGACAAAAGTCAAACAAAGATTAATAACCTTACAAACTGCAATGGCTCTGTAACGGTGCTACTCCACAAAGCAAGGACAAGGGCCCTTTTTGGTTTTTGGTATTTACGTAAAAAAGCCACCTGTTTGCTTGCAAAGAAGCAAAAACGGCAACTCTGATGCGTACTCCTTAATCTTTTAAAACTTAGTTTTCTTTCCTCTAAAAACAGCAACAAATTCTCAAGTATAAAGAAGCCTCTTTTCTCATCTTTATGCACCAATGGTGAGAGTGTTTAGTCTTTGGATTTTCTTTTTGTCTTAAAGCGTGAGAATTATTATTAGTATACTTTTCTCATTTTTGACAACAAAAATGAAAATGAAGACTGTAGCCACACTAGATGAACAAAAGACCTGCTTTGTAGTGTACACATCTACAAACACAGGAGAGCGGAGAAAATAAGTGCAAAAAGGAGGAACAAGTAGAATGAGAAAAAGGAGTCAGACACTGATAAGTGCACAAAAGTGACACAAAAATTAAATAAAATCAAACTTTCAGTATTTCACCCAGGATCTTTTTCATTTTGGTTAGTGTGATACCAACCAAACCATAAAATTTAAATAATTCTAAAAGAGGATCCTGCCTTGTCAGGTGGGGCATTTGGGTGAACATTTCCCAGGAAGCTGAGAATAAGACAGAAATAAAGTTTAGATAAATTACCTGTCCATAATCTAGTCTATTGGAATGACCAAGACAACATCAAATGAAGCGTCTTAAAGTTGGACAATACAAAAGCTAAATGTACACAAAGTTTTTTCAACCTACCATACTGTTTAAATTCATTTCCAATGCAACAATCTACTTAACACCAAAATGTTCATATCTATCATAAATACAGAAGGCTGTTTTTTTGTTTGTTTTTTTTTTGTTTTTTTATTCAAAACAGTTTTTATCGCCCGTTACTATGCCTGCAATGCTCTCCTTGTCTGGGTATAATGGGACTGTGATTTTCCCCCCCTTTCAAAACGAATGTCTAATGTTAAAATCAACAAATCATTTACCCTTTTTGAATGCCCCAAAACAATGCCTTATTAAAATTTGATTTCTATTATGAAATCAAGTTCATGAAGAAAAGAAAAATACTCATCTCCTCTTGGAAACAAAAGGTGTAAAACATGGATTTCTGTAACAAAAAACATGTGTGAGCTGTTGACCTGAGAATAAAATAGACATTACATTATTCTTTTACTTTTGCAAGCCATTGGTATCTGAATGCTTAAATAGCAAGAAAACTGATAGACTATTCTCCCATACAGTACATACTGGCTTTTTGTGACTGTGCTATCAAGTAGAAATTATTAGAAAACAAAGGGACAGCTTGTTGACTTATGTTTCTTCAAAAGGGTTCTTGGGCCATTTTTCAGTTTTGAGGCAGTCCACACAGTACAGCATTGCTCTGCCATTACCCAAAACATACTGTAACAGCAGCGATCTTTTCTGTTCTCATACATTAGTATGCACGTATTTCAGTTGAGTAAAAAACAAAAAAACAAAAAGATTAAAAAAGAAAGAAAGTAATGAAAACCAGCATGTTGATATGGGAAAACAATCCACTAACATTTAAATTTTTGGTTACAAGCTTTGGAATTGCAGTTAGTCTTTACACATCTTTTCTGAAATTGGTTTGTATACTTTTAATGTATTTTAACATTGCTGCTTTTTATGTTTTTCCCATTTGTGATTTTTTTGTCTTTTTTTTAGTGTTTTTTAAATATTGTCCATCACTGAAAGCTCTTTTACAATCTGATGGAGTCTGTTCCTACACTAGCAAGATTACTACTACAACTACTACTGTCTTTGACAAAGCCAGGCTGCTGCGGCTCCTCCGCTGTCCTGCCCAGCCTGTCTGCTGACTTCTGACTGTTGTCAGAGTCAGACTCGTCGGTAAAGACGTCTGTTGGTATCGAGGTCTGAACTCCTGAGGTGCTCAATGAACTTGAGGTAACCGTTGAAGGTGAGGACACTGGAGGAAAAGAGGAGGAAGAAGAGGGGGGACTGGCATTGGGCTTCCCAGCTAAAGCTCTGGAGAAAGGGGCCTGGGGCCAGGGTTTGCCGGCAGCTGTGGTGTTGAGTGGGGTAGTAGAAGAGGAGCACAGGGAAGAGGAGACAGCAGAGGATGGCATGGTGGCTGATGTTGTTGGCGGGGGAGGGGGGCTGCTGATGGGATGAGTGGCAGACTGCGAGGTAGATGCGGTGTTAGGATTGGGGAAGCAGGCTGAAGAGTGAGGTAATAAACTAGTAGCGTGCTCTTTGGCATTTCTGGCTGATCGCTTGATTGTTCTGTGTTTGTGCAATACCGATTCCAGGTGTTGACTGAGTGCTTTCTCCCCATCCAACGTAGTGTCACAAGCCAGGCAGTCATAGAGACTTCCAGCCCCTGCACCTACGCCACCAGGGACACGCAGCAACATCTCTTGCAGGTTTGCCACAGACTGACCAAAAAAACAGTTAGATTTAAGGTGGGTAATAGCCGCCTCTTCCTTGGTGAAAACTGCTTGACACTTGCGGCATGCCAGTTTATACTGCACCTTGGGGACAATGTACTGGTCTAGATGGGGGTCCACAGCTTTGCCATCCATCTCTTTCTGTTCAGAGGGAACTTTATTATGAGAGGAGGAGGAAGTGGGAGGTTCGCTATGGGGGTTGCCCCTCTGCTCCTCTGTTTTCACTGGATCTTTGGCAGATTCTTTGCGATCCCCCAAGGGTTGAGGGGGAACGGGAGTTTGGCTCGCCTTGGGTTGCTGGATCTGCTGAAGCTGCCGCTGCTGCTGCTGTAGTGCCTCTTGCAAACTCTGCTGATATTGCTGGTAATGCTGCAGCAGGGACCCTGGAGACAGGCCCATCAGTGCTTGGGACAATGCTGGGTTGTAAGGGAAGAGACTTTCCATACCATACATTGGCTGTAGGTAGCCGCCTTGGAGAGCCCCAGGGATCTGTGGGGTGTAATACGGGGAAAAGCCAGGCATGAAATAGGGCAGGAACTGGTTTGTGAGGAGAGCTGTGGGGTCTGATGCCAAAGCGGCCTGCAGGGCCTGAAGCTGAGCAGGGTCTACCACATACTCCATACCAGGTGTGGGCATAGAGGTGGCTGGTACAGCCGTGTCTGGTTTATCCTTCTTGGCACTGGCAGCAGAAGTGGAGGGAGCAGGAGTGCTTCCAGTTGATGATGGGGTTGAGGGCTTCTCTGTCTTTTCCTTGTGCTTCTCCTTCTCTCTAAACCTCTCAGTATCACGCTCTTTAGGGGGTTCAGGTCGGGAGCTGGGCAGGGTGGATGAGGAAAGTGAGTTGGATGTGGAGGTGGGGCTTGAGTGGGAAGCAGACGTGTTGGTCTGGGCTGGACTGGACGCAGCAAGAGACGATGAGGTGGGAAGCTTGTTGGGCAATCCAGATGTGGGTAGGCTAGGTGAGGGAACACTGGCACCAGGCATGTTCAGGAGGTTTGAAGGTTTTGGAGGAGTTAAAGCTGGAATTTTTAAACACAGACAAAAATTTTAGAATGAATAGGCATATTTATTTGATGGATGAATGATAAATGATTATATTATTGCATTATTTGTTCAAATAGTATTTAATTATAATAAAAATGTTGTTTTATTATATAAGACACCCAGAGAGCAGTTAAAAGTTGGTGGTAAAAGGATCATGTATTCTTCACAATGTCAAAGTCAGAGTAAGGCATTTGTTGTGGTAGGTTGTTGTGGTATTTGTAGGTCTGATAATTAAGCAATTACGTGTAAGTAGGTCGATTCTGTACTTAGTGATGCATGTCCAAATGGCAGAGGACCATTTTACTTTCAACAGTATGAGTATGAGTAGACATGACAGACTGGTGGAAATCTAAATTATTTTAAGAAGAGTAGAAAGATTTCTGTCTAGGGTTGTACTACTACAAGATTACTAGATATTTTGTGTAGTAATAGCTGATAATTGTTTTTTTTTTACACTTCAATAACTCATCTGCAACTCTGCACCCCAAATTTTAACTTTATGTCAAATGATAACGTACCTGAATTAGATGAGTTAAAGCTCGACAGAGAGGGGCTGCCAACCCCTGGCAAAAGGACAGGTGGGATCCCTTGCAAATTTGGATAGGCCGACTGGAGATTCAGAGCCTGCATTGCTGGGTTATCAAACATCCCCTGCTGCTGCATGGCCTGCTGCTGTGCCAGTCCTAACACTTCATTGGCCTTCTTAATCCTGTCCATCTCTTGCTGGGCCATGAGTTGGCGGACAGTGGCTGGGTCAAAGTACTCTTTTTCCTTATCGATCTGGCTGCCAATGGTATCCTTCACCTTAGAAATATGTTGTTGAGAGAAAATGTGATCACGAACAGAGAGACGAGCACTGTACTTGACACCACACAAAGTGCATTCAGTCTTCGGCCCCTCATAGGACGTCTGATTTATACCAAAGTGCTTGGCCATGTTAAGCTTTGCCTTTTTCTCCTTGGCACGGGCATTTTGAAACCACACCTGAACCACTCTCTTTGGAAGTCCAATTTCATTGCCAAGTACCTCACATTCCAGCATAGTGGGAGTCCTGTAGTCATTAAAACAGGATTTCAACACCTTCAGCTGAAGGTTAGTCATCTGGGTTCGGAAGCGCTTTTGGCCAGGTCGATCTCCGCTGTCGATACTCCTACTACCTGAAGCTCCAGGACTTGGTGAACAGGGGTCAGCCAGGCTGGACGTCTCACTGTGGTCAATCATATTTTCATTTTCATAGTCCTTGGCATAATAACTTGTTGCAGGGCTTACAAGCCCTGAGGACATCTGATCATCAGTTTCGAGCATAGGGGCTGTGCCCCCGGACTTAGACAAGTATTCACTACTATTTTGGCTGTGCTTTGCATCAGCACTGTCATTATCAGCATTGGCCTCATCACCTGTGGTTGTGTCAGTGATGGCTGTATTCACAGAAGAGCAGTCATCATTATCCAGTTTGCTCTGATCAAAGCTGAGGTTCACAGCAGACATGGCTGCACTCTCAAAGTCTTCCATTCCCTCAACTTTAATGGATGAAGGGCTCAGTAAAGCCCTGGGAGACAAATCCATGCTTTTGTTCACTGGAGACATTGATGAGCTTTGTCCATCGCTATTTGTAGGGGCCAGTTGGGAGTAACCTGATGATTCTAAAGTATCCATTTTTATTTGCATGCCCTCCTGTTCAGGTAACATACCAGTGAGAGTTAAATTATATCCAGCACGTTTGGCTTCATGCCAGTGGCGAGAGCGAATGTGAGCCTCAAGGGCAGTTTTTGCTTTAAAAAGAGCTCGACAAAAAGGACACCTACGATGAGCTTGAGCTGGCCCTACTGCTCTAAACTGGCCTTTTCTTTCTCTAGCTCTGGTATTCTGGAACCACACTTGCACTACTCTCTTTTTTAATCCCACTTCATGAGCAATGTGGTCAAGCATTTTACGTGTAGGATTTGAATCTAATAAATATTTTTGATAAAGGATCTCTAGCTGCTCAGGTGTGATGGTGGTTCTGAGCCGCTTGTCTCTCTGTGGCTCTTCTCCGCTGTTTGTGCTATCGTTTTCTCCTGGGCTAGTGCCAGCTTTCTCCTCTAACTTCCTCTTCAAGGAGTTCATTGTGGAGGTGGGGGTGGACGGAGAGGTAGCAGAACTGCTGGGAATCTGCGGCATCGCCCCAGAGAGTAGCTGACTTGCCAGGAGAGGATTGCTAGGATCAAATAGCATAAAAGGCATGTCAATTGGACGGTCAAGAAACTGAGGATGGATGAATTGATTTTGCACAGAAAGAAAATGTAATTGCTGGTGTTCCTGCCAGTGCTCAAAGGAGGGGAAGCCAATCTTGCACTGTTCACACTGGTATGGGATCATTTGTTGTGCCAGTTGTTGTGTGGCAGAGGTCAGGTGTGGATTGAGACTCATGTGAGAACTTTGTGATGAGGCCTGGCTCGTCTGAGAGGCTGAGGGACCACACTGCTGTTGTTGCTGAGAGAAGGAGGGAGATGAATGTTTGATGGGCTTGGAAATAGTCTGAATCTTCTCTTCTCTCTGAGGTCTGTGGTGTTGTGCTTCAGACTGAGATTGATGCACAATTTCCTGCTTAATAGAGGTTTGGTTTTCTCGTGGATCAGCAGAAATTTCTGGTAACTGCTTGGGCTTCTCATCATAGAGGTTTGAGGTGGATGCTGGTGATGCCTCCTCTTTTTCAGTAGATGGGAGATGTGAGAATGCTGAAGTGGAGGGTGGGAGTGGACAGAGACTTGAAGAAGAGGGCATTGGGGTGTGACAAGAAGACCCAGAGGGAGTATAACATTCATGGGTAAGATCCAGTGAATCTTCATTTTGGCTGTCATATTGTCCATCCTCATCTTCATCTTTGTAACACAGCTTCTTTTGGTGTTTAATTAGATCAAATATGCGCTGGAAAACCAGACTGCATTTCTTGCACTGGTAGTTCAGGTTTGAGGTGCGGATATAGCGATCATTTGACAGTTCTCGTCTTTCCCCATCTTTACCCCCATCACCCTGGTTTTCATAATTCTTCCTTGCCTTTTGGCGAGCATTTTGGAACCACACAACAATAACACGAGTGGGGAGGCTCAGAAGGTTGGAGAGCTGTTCAAATTCATCATCTTTAGGATAAGCATTGGCATCAAAGAAGTCTTGTAGCACTCTTAGCTGGTAGTCAGTAAACCTAGTCCTGGATGATCTCTTACTTCCATAAAATTCTTGTTTCGGAAGTTCAGGGGATGGAGGTTTTGAGTCAATTTTTGTTTCTTCTAGAGTTGTTATTGGTGGATTATTGAAATTGTATGGTGAGTCTTTGTTTCGCTGTCTCTCTTTAAAAAGGGTGTTTCTGAACCAGTGTTTTATAACTTTTTGTGGCAGCCCTGATTTGTCTGCCATCTCTTTAATCTGCTCCTCGCTTGGTGAATTGTTGATATCAAAGTACTGACGCAGGACCCTAAGCTGGTCATCTGTGATGCGTGTACGCGGCCTCTTGTTCTGCTGCTGCTGTAGCATGGCTGGTGTAAGCTGTTGCTGATAGAGCTGGGCTAGATCTGAGGCCAAGCTTGGCTCAACAGATGGCAACTGGGGAGGCAACTGAGTGGGCAAGGACTGGAGTGACATAGGCTGCATCATGAGTGGAGAGAAGAGGGGCAAATCTATTGGCATGGGAATTTGTGCCATTGGAACCGGTGGCTGTGGGGGAGGTACAGTTGTAGGTGTCAGTGAAGCAGCAGAGATGGGAATATTTGGTGTGGGAGCTCTTTGTGGAGGAGGTGGAGGTGGAGGAGGAGGTGGTGGAGGAGCTGGGGCAGCCTCTGGTGTAGGGGGTCTCAGTGGATACAGTTTATCATAATGCTCTCTGTATTCCTTGGCAAACCTCTCAAGGGATCGAAATGGAAAGAAAGCCTGGTGGATATGCTCCTGGTGACTCTTTAGAATCAGTATGTTTGAAAACAGCTTGCCACAGGCTTCACATTCCAGTTTCTCTAATCCCTCAATGGGGTCCACCACTCTTGTTATCCCACCTGGGCCACTTGATCCTGTAGGTCCAGCTGTCCTTTTCTGAGCTTTCTGTTTATTTTCATTGTACTGAATTACTAACTCAAACCCAAAATTTTCCAGCAGGGCTTTAGTTGCATTTCCCCGAGCGTCTGAAGCAATCCTTGGTGGAGGCAAGCCAGTATCATGGTTTATGTTTATTGAAATATGCTGAATGTCCTTCTTTTCTTTTGACTTGCTGTCTGTAGAATCTTTAGCATATTCCTCATTTTTTTCAATTGTCTCCTTCTCTCTTTGTATTTCTTTGTCTTTCTCATTCTGAGAGGAGGAAGGTTTCGGCTTCTTTTCAGCCTGTTGGAGGAGAGATGCACTCTGCTGCAGCAGTGCCATCTGCCCCTGAGCCTGTAAGTGGGACTGCTGCTGTTGTGGTTGCTGCTGCTGCTGCTGTTGCTGCTGCTGTTGTTGCTGCTGCTGCTGCTGTTGATGATGTTGCTGCTGAAGGTGGTGGTGCATCAATTGCTGCTGCAAGCAACTCTGCTGGGCTGAGTTTTTTAAATCCTCTAGCAGTGAGGAGGTGGAGGATCCTGCTAATCCAAGTGCTGAGTTACTGATGTTGATCTCTGGGTTCAGCTGAAATTCTGCTCCAGGGATGTAGAAAGGGAATAGCAACTGCTGCTGTTGTAGAGGAAGAAGTGCATCAGTTGTCATGGGGAAGTGCTGCAGAAGTGCTGGGTTGAATAGCTGTGATTGTAAAAGAGCAGCCTGCTGCTGGAGCTCTTGCTGAAGCTGAGCTTGAGCTTGGGCTTGAGCCTGAGCCAATTGTTGCTGTTGTTGTTGAAGCTGTTGCTGTTGCCCCCTAGCAGATAGCATGTCTGTAAATTTAGTCTTTTTCACTTCATGGTTCTCAGATGGTGAAGAATGGCAGCTCACTGAAGAATTCCCAAGGCTTTCAATACTATGAGTTTGACTCATGTGGTTTCCTCCAGGAAGACTCTGAGACATTTGAGAACCAGAAGAACTGTGGTTGGTTGAACTAGTAGTTGAATTGCTGGCCGGGCTCGGGCTAGATGTTGAAGTGCTTATGCTGGACCCTCCACCACTTAAACCAGGAGCACTTGTAGAGCTAGTGATTCCACCTGCTGCTTCAAGTTTGGCTGCCCTAGCTTTGGTCTGGTGTAGAACAGAGCGCATGTGGATCTCCAGAGTAGAACTCTGACTATATGCCACATTACAAGTGCTGCATTTGAATGGCTTGTTGTCAGGGCTGCTGGTAGGCTCAGGCTGACCAGTAGTGGATTCCTGAAGAGCCCTCTTCACCTTGTGTAGGTGGGAGACAGAGTTATAATGGACCAACAGAATGTTCTTCTGTGTAAAAGACTCTTTGCATACAGTGCACTTGAAGGGACGAGATGGATCCAAAAACTTCTCCATGGTAAAGTTTGGGCCTTTTCTGAATGGCAAAGCACGTTTAGGTTCAGATCCAGAATCTTCCTGCAATGAACCAGAGTCACTACCTGTTGGGCTTTGTTTTTCTTCTGGGTCACTTTCATCTCCTTCTTTGTCATCTTCACCCAGACCTGCGTGCTCCTCACCAAGAGATGGATCACCCATTACCATAATGTCACCATTCATCAATAAGCCCCCATAAAGCTGCTGGAGATCAGCTTCACTCAGCTCCAGGTGACTGGTTTCTAAGTGTTTCTTCAAGGCCTGCAGTGTTCTGAAGCTTCGCTGGCAGAGGCAGCACATGGTGGCTGCCCTGATCACGTGGTACTGTGAATGGAGCTGTAGTTTCTCTACAGTTTTGAAGGCTAGGCTGCATTGGTTACAGCGGTACTTGTAGACATGGCGATCTGAAACAGGCAGCTGGGGCCTTTTATTGTGAACTTCACTGAAGTGCATCTGGAGGGAGTTTGAGGACTTGAACACCTGATTACAGCCTTTCTTCCAGCAAAGAAATCCTGTGGCATCATCCCTCTCTGATTGTTGATCTTCCAGAGGGGACTTGCGAGCTTCAGTCATTTCTAAAGCCAGTGACACCCCCTTCTCTTGATCAGGTTCTGGTGCATCTGCAAGTAGATGAGCCAAAAGAAAAGAGCAATTCATTAGGTACCTATATTTGCAAAGTTTAGTTTTTTCACAGTAATGTCAATAAATGACATTAAAGTACATGTTATGTTAGTACTAAGGGAATAACAAATTACAAGGCCTGTTGATAACGATCACTATTCATACTGTCTGAAGGCATGAAAATGTGCATTGTCTTTCATTACACTATGTGTGAAAAATGCTGTGAAAGCATTATTAACATGATTATTTAGTAAAGCACTACATTTATGGTACACTCAGCTATGAATATCCATTGTGACAATATGCACATTGCAAAACACAATGGTGAAACTAATGTAAATGATTTATCTTTTTAAAAAAATATCATGTGGAAAAAACATGAAATTTCAAAGTCGTACTAACCAGCGTGCTTCTTTGTATCTTCAGAGTTAGAGTTGGTTGTGGCATGTGGGGTGCTCTGGGACTCTCTGTCTGGACTAGGCACAGGTATGAACATGCTTGCTGGCAATACTTCAGTTGCTGTCACCTAGAAAAACAAAGCACAAAGGAATTCTTTTGTCAATAATTTCTCTGAGTGATAATAAACTTGTATAGTTTCCTTTATTAAAGGACAACTATGGACACAAACAAGATATACAAGTTAGAAGGTTAAAGGGGGTTAAAAACAGATCAATATGGCATTCTAGAACTATTACATTTTTACAAAGCACTAAAGTCACTGTATTGTCATTAAACACTGAAGTCATTGATCCTCACAAATTTTTATGCTACTATTTTCCTATGAATCACTCAGCCTTCATATATGTATACAGATGCACACACAATCATAACCATTTATTATAATCAATCGCTACCATATTTATTTACTTTGCCATTCAGAGAATGTACAGTTTCACAGTCTTGTGCTTTGTCGTATGCCTAAAGTTCTGGCTCAGCCAACTGATGATTAAACTCGTTACACGCAGCATGTAAACATCACAAATTAATAATGATCAAAAATTTTAAATTTTGATCAGTAGTTGTTGATCAAAATTAACATTTGAATTACTGAAATAATTATCTTATTGGACCTGTATTAAAAAGTAAGAGATGTAGTGTCAGCTCTGTATGCCAAATGCTTTGGTTAATCTACTATATTTACCATATGCTTTTAAATTACTCCTCTAATAGGAACAGTGAGACACAGTTGAATGGACTGTAACATCTCATATAGTCGACAGGACACATCTAAATGGAGCAGAATCAGTAGGGGTTTTTTATCTTAAGTAGAACAGTTAACACTTTCCACCACAAAGTGTAGCACTATGTGGTCAGCGTGGTCTTAAGTCTTCCAGAAAACCTCCAGCCATCTTTTTCACTGTTTTTGTTACCTTCAAAATGAAAAATGGAAAATTAATGCAACCAGTGTGGAAAGTCAAATAATAAAAGCGCTATGATTTACATTACAAAGTGGACAGTTTCTAGACAACTGCCTCATTAGGGGATTAGAGGAAAGAGCACAGTATCCCAAGGTCACTCTTAAATTTGGACCGTCTAATTGGCAAATATAGCTCAAAATGGCTATCATCCAGCTAGACTCAGAATGAATGAAATTATTTTCATTACGCCCTGTCTTACACAGGCAGAAAATTAGAAAGAGCAATAGGGGGAGGGCTGGAAGAGTATCTGTACATTATATATACTATACTGTATAATGTATAGGCGACAGACAGGCACAAGAGACATGCAGTAGAAAGGTGGGAGTGCAGAGGCAACATCATTATGCTTGGAAAGAAATAAAAGTCACCTGTTTCAGAATTAATTAAGGTTTTCTTGTTAGACACGTGAAAAGGATAAAGTACTTTTCCATCTGCATTCACCAGTTATAAAAAAGTGTTTGCTTTAATGTGTGTCATATTACCTATGTTCTATCGTAGTGCTCTTGTAGTGGTTCAGCACATTACTACCTCTATAAAAGAAATAAATATTGCCATCTACCATACTAATGTGCTTGCCATTTACATTCTAGATGTGGGATGAAGATGGCTAGGCAACCGATAGAGCAATGTTTTATTCGGTGATTGTCCAGAAAGCTATTTAGCTTCACAAGATAGAGCAGAACAAAGATTCGCTCTGTGATTTACAAGAAAACAGGGCAAATAAAATTTTATTTCCCCTTGATGAGCATTAAAGGAAGCAAGCAAAGTATTCCTGAAGGTAGAAAAGGGTGCAGCAGTGCATTGTAGCTGATGTAAATCTAACTTTAGGACTTGAGAGTCAAAGATTAGATGACTCAAGCTACAAATGCTACGACTTACATACAATACAGACATTGTGTATACGACATTTGATTTTGGCCTGATTCATATTGAAAAGTAGCATTTCCATTGCTTGTACTTGAATTTCACGAAATGTTGACACTCATTGTTGAACTTCATTAAATTTGAATTAAACTATGTCAATTATTTTAACATATTCATAATCAGAGGCTTTGTTTTGACTAGCACACAGGTGATCATAGACATGGCAAGAATGTCAGTGTAGTAATAAATTAACTGGGAGCTAAGAGACCCACTCATCTTGAAATCATTTAAAAATACAATAACAGATTATGAGTTTCCCTCCCCAAATGACTGTGATTACAAGAGAGCTAGGGAAAAAAAGAATCTCTGATGATGGGTGTATTAAGACAATGAAAAAGAAAAGAAAAATATGCATCTTAAAAATACCCAATCATTTTCAGCAAGCCAACTGGATTCCCTGAAGCCATTTCACAATTAACAGCATTCTTTGGGTTTGATAAAGGACTGAATGTTGGCAATTAAGATGAGTGAAGACAGGAATGACAATTGTTCACTGCTAGGCAGCCACTCCAGGGTGAGGGACTGATTAAGAGCAAATGATTCATCTTCTTGGCATTGCTGAATTCTTACACTAGTCCTTGACCTGACCCACTGTCAATAAAACAAAGAAAATGGATACTTCAATTTTACAAGTTTTCCAAGCAGTCATATGCAAAACACACAACACAAAACTTACTGTGGCAATTAGCTTATCAACGCAGTCAGGTGCCACGCTGTGGAGGTGCGTGAGGTGAAACTGCAGGTGGATCTTGTTGTTGAGCATGTCCTGGCACAACGGGCAGCGTAACATGGGCTGGACAGAGTGCTGCGTCATCACGTGCATTCTGAGGCGATTCAGGTCCGTGTTGGTGAACTTGCAGTAGGGGCACTGGTACATCTGGGTGAAGGTGGAGACAGAAACAGAGACGGAGGGTTAATGGGATGAAATGCGTGCGGTGAGCATGTTGAGCCTGTATGAAGAGGAGCTGTAGACCAGGAGGAAGAGTGGGCCCCTTCCCTCAAGCAGGCAGATTCCTCTGATCATAGAAAAGTGCATAATACTGAGCACCACAGTCTTGGCACCCACTTCAAAGTGCTCTCATCTGTCAAATACTATATTGATTTTCCACCTTATACACAATTAGCAGCGCAACTGTGGCAGAAAGGCTAAAATAACTTTGAGCACATTTGAAAGAAAAAATCCTGCATAGTATAAAAAGGCCTGCGAGACAACTAACTAAATAAGTGAAAATTATTACAAGTACTTGTTTACATTTTTTAAACTGATTTGCAAGTTTTAGGCCTATAATGATGCTTTGGTAATTGAGGATGAAATAATCTTTAGTATGTTCTCCTAATACAACAAGAGCAAGAGTTTGATGACACTTTTATGAACATGCAAAGGCTTCAGTGTTAACAAAACTGTGTGGTTTATAAGGCTCACCTGCTCCGCAGCGCTCTTCTCCGCTGTCCTGGGGCGCTTCGAGGAGAATGGATTCTCTGAGGTCTCTGACTGCGAAGAGGGCCTTTTGGAGGGGATTGGGGAATCTGACTGGTGCTGTTCCAAGTGGCTGGACAATGCTGAACCTATGCAGATTCACAGAAACACACACAAACACAAAGGAATAAAGAGAAGAGAGGAGACATGTCAAGACAAGGAAGGACTTGGCAGCCAGGGACCAGGTCAATCAATAACACTGTGGTTAAAAGGCTTTGGAATGTCTTTCTTAAATGTGATACAGCTGCATTTAATGGGAAATGTGCAGAGAAAGTGTTGTTAGACAATTCATATCTCCCCATTAAAAATACCTCACACTTTTGGCTTGTCTTCCCATGCTGCTTCTGAGGGATGCACAGTCAACATGCTCTGATGAGCCGTTTCTTTCAGTGTTGGCCCATCAGGATATTATACACCACCATAAACTGCTAATAAAAATATTAGTTTGCCACAGGGTGCGGCTTTAGGTTTCATACCACTGCATATTTTTTATCCACATGAGTTTTTAAACTTGAGACAAGGTACACAAACATCTTGTGATCTCATCATACAGTAAGAAGGGTGAAGAGATCAGTCTCAAACTCAACTTTAAATAGGCCTTGTTTCAGTAATTATTTTTCTTCAGACACTCCTTGTTAATATAATAATAGGAATTTATGTGCATTCATGTTTCATATATGTGATGCCAATGAACAGTATTTTCAAGCTATACAGCTATACTTGTACATCCTTTAGTGAAAACCTTTTGCTAGTAAAATGATCCTCACATTGTAATAAAGGCATATTAAAAAAGAAAATCTAATGTAAAAAAATTAAGATAATACTTTCATAACACCTCTTCAACCACATTTTGTGAAATGAAGTGTAAGTAAATGTTGTCCTTATTGTCACAGTAAAAGCACTGAGGAGGAAGGTAAAATTAAGCTTTTTTGATCCATGACCCGACCCAGGTATGGGTGAGTGGTTGTCTGTCTCTGAGCATTTGTCCTGCGATTGATTGGCAACCTGACCAGGGTGGACCTCGCCTCTTATCAAAGGTCGGCTGGGATTGGCTCCAGCACTCTCCCCCGTGACCCTCTTCAGGAATATGCGGTTATAGATAATGGATGGATGGATGGATGATCCATCCATCCATCGGTTATAGATAATGGATGGATGGATGGATGATCCATGACCAATAGTCAAAGTATTTTTTATGGATCAACAAAAAATGTTTATCACATAGCACCTACAAATTGCCTCAGCCTGGAAAATTCCCCAGCTCTTTATTTCCGTAATCAGGTTAATGCCGGTGGAATTTTCAGTGTTACTGGTTGCAACTAGCTATACCTTTTCCAGTGTGTTGTAACTCTGTGGAAGTGGACTGTGACAAATAAATAAATAAATAAATAAAACCCCTGAGCACATCTCAATATTTCCTAAAAGCTATGTTGCATATGACAACAAGGTTTCATTTAACTCTGAGATTTTTAACACAAAGACATGGTATTGGGCTCAAAGGTGGTGGTTGTATACAAGCACATTTACAAGACCAAGCCATGCTTTGGTGTTCCGTCTGTTGAAAGGTTAAAAAAGAGCTTTTGTCACTTCTGTGTAAGTACCAATCTTTGAAATAAATTATTTTCTAAATATTTACTGTTTCACTAGCTCACACAAATCACACATACAAATCTTTTGAAAACAACACATATTAACAAAACAGCCTTTTCTATGTCTGCAGAGAAAGGCCTCAAAATAGAACCCTGCAAACTGATTAAAAACTACTCCACTTTATAAAGAAAAAAAGAAACTAGAAGTGGCACATGGAGAGGGATCACAGCAGAGCACTCAGTTAAGCGCAGACTCACAGAGGAGCTAAATCCACATGGAGCCAGCACAGTGGAGCTGCTGTAGCACCACACTTGGTCACCAGAGAAATTCACTGCAAAACCTAAGGAGGTGTCTTGCCAACCACTAACAAGCCCATAAAGAGTTAAATTTGGCCTGATTTGTACAGTCCTAAAGGGCAAATTGAGAACAGAGGGCATTGGTAGAGGAGTGGCAGTGTGGTAGGGGGTCAGGTTAAGCAGGGCTGACCACGCTCCTACTCCAGACATTAAAATGTCAGCTCCAATCAGGACCAGGGCAGTTGAAGTGATTACCCAGTTGGGGACCTGGCTTTGGACAGAGCAGCATGTGAGATCTCCCAGAGAAACCAGGATCAGCCAGGGAGGCACTATTAGGGTCCAGTCACAGTCAATCCTATTAAACACATCCACCAATAAAGAAAGGGAATGTTAAACAAAAGGAACCTCCCATTCCCTGACATTAACCTCTCAGTCATGGCACTGTCCTCACCAATTCTTCCACCTCCTCACTTCAGTCCACTCCTACTTCCTCTGAACTCACCTCTCCAGGAAAGCCTGACCCATCATCTCTAGTCAACTTCACATTTCAACAATCTGGCTGATCTTTGCATTTTTATATTAAATAGGAGCATCAGACCAGTATGTATTCACTCTCGGTTTTTGGAACCGTATTCAGTTTGATAATGCTAATACCCTTTCCTTAAAAGCATATCACTCTCTACTTTTGCATTGTGCATCACAGTTAGGAAAGATGATCTCTGCACCAAAGCCTTTCCTCTCTCCTTCAACATATTATTAACGCAAAAAGCAACAATAATTTTCATAGATACAAGTTAGGGAAGAAAACTAACTGCAATTTTAATAGCACCTGAAAATAAAACTTCCACATGCAATGAATTATAATAAGAAAGAAAAGAAACAAATATAACAACGTATGTACTGTATGTTTAACTACTCTTTACTGGGAATTACATAACCTTTGTAACTGGTGGAGGTAAAGTGTGGAAAAGAAATCCTTTCAATTTTCATACAAGCATAAGAGCAGGTAAAGGGATTTTATCACAGGTTTAAAGTGGATTCATCAGTACAGAAAGTAAGCATGGATTAAGTAAACACAAGTATAATCACAGCCTGATGACCAAGAGGATAAACACAACTTATTATAAGTATATTCCTCTTCCACAATTACTCAATTAGCACCCGAGAGGTGAAACTAATGCTGTTCAAGCTAAGGCCCTGGAGAGATGCTGTAGAAGGGCCCAACCAGCTTTTCTAGTATGGGGTGTTTATGTGCGTGTGAGAGAGGAAGTGAAAGAGAGGAGGACAGATGGAGAGCTGGAGAGGCTTACTCAGATGTAGTCTCTCGTCACGGCCTATTAGGACTCCATAAATCTGATCAATCCCTTTCTCTTAAAAATCCTATACCCTGACACCATCACTGGCACCATGACTAACATCTAACTACTGTGTCCTGTTTTTCCTTGTCAAGGGTGATGAAAAAAAAAAATCACCGAAACATTGAAAAGCTGGGAATGCAACAGTGATAAAAACAGGGTTTTTTTTGTCATTATGTACAGTCTGCCATGACAGATTGGACACTGGTGTCTGCGCATAGATACACACGTCAGAAACACAGATCTATAATAGCAACAGGTTATCAGAACCAATGACCAAAACATTGGGCCCCGATGAAGCAGGGTATAGGACTATTACAGTAATAACATACTTTCAAGAAAGAACAGAACAGTCCCTGGAGAGATATGCTAAGGATGTCAAAACTACAGTAGCTGATGAAAACTATATGGAGTGCTTAGTTTTACTTTCTGATGTTATACTGGTGGGGGTAATTGAGTTAGCACAGAAAAAACA